ACAGGCGCGCGGCTTGAACTGAACTGAGTGTAATGTAGAAAATAGAAATTAAACCTGTTTTCAAATGATCTGGGTTAACTCTTTAACGCTTAGTGGCTTCTATAGAAATCACTTATCAATAAGGTCAAATACCTGCATTACCACAACTAAATCGTTTCTAAAAACGAAAAAATAATTTNGTAACTTATAAAAATAATTTTTAAAAAGACGCGTTACAAAGGCGAAGTCAAAAATATGTGTGTGTGGTTCGGGTCGAGCCGTAATTCTTAAATTTTTGCTAAATGCCCGCGCTTGCGCAGCCACCGTCACTAAATTTTTTTATCTTACACTGTCAATATTATTGTCAATATGCTAAGGTATTGTCAATATTATCGATCGTGTAAGGGCCGTTTTAGAAAAGCATACTTAACAAATGAAAAATATTGATGGCGCTTCTAAAATGCAATGGAAATCGTTCAAAATACTTTCCCCCTTTACACGATGAAAGTTTTGTTAAACTTTTTTGATAAAATCGATGTTTTATGAGTTATTATTAGGTAGTCTCAATTGCAATGCCTTACTCAGTATATTAAATATAGTCTTTTAAACAAACTTCTTAAAAAGATTCAACGCAGTTGGTGTCCTCTTATAAAACAAGTTCATACACCTACTTAAAAAATTTGGCGTCTACAAATCGGTACTTACCGACGAATAGTCTCAACAATTCGGTATTATTCTTGAAGGACACATTATCGATTTTTCTCTATGCAAGAAATACTAAAATATATGCAACTTATTTTACGTTTTTCGTAGTAATACGTTAGGGCGCGTATAGTAAAATTTAAATTTTTATGAATGGCGTCCTGCCATCTAGGCATCACGACCACGAACTAAATTCTTTGGATAACTATGTATATCTATAAACAAGGCTACTACGCTATAACCTGTTCGCTGCTCTATACAGATGGTGACATCAACAGCCCGAAACGCGCGTCGTGGCTCTGGTTACGACTTTTCCCCGACGTAGTTTACAGTGTAATTATCATTAGAATTCAGAATTTCTTTTTTTAATGTTATCTTAGAAGTGTAAACTACAGATGTATTGAATAACTTTTTAGATTAGTTGATTAAGAAACGCATAAATTAATGCTAAAAAAGTGTTTTAATTTCAACCTTTACGTATTTTTTTAAACACAATTGGACTATGTATTTAAAAATCTGATTCAGTTATGTTATAGGATATGTAAAGCGTTGTTAGACATGTTACCTGATTTTCATCGCTGTGTAGGTCAAATGTGCTGTGGAGCGACCGGTATTTATAAACGTTCATAGCGAAAACAAGTTGGTGTTGCAGAAATTATATTAATTTAAACCTTGTTATAGACGGTAAATTATCTTTCACTAGGCACATCATTATTAGAAAGCTTTTAGCGTATTGAAGGGTGTATTTCCTTATGGAACTTTACTCACGCAGAGTAAAACCTTATCGAAATAATGGAGCCGCAATGTTCTATAATATATTTATAGAAGGCAAAGTTAAACTAATTATGAATACTATAACACAAGAATTTTTATTGTATTAAAAGAAAATACGTAATTACTCGCATTCTATTTAAAATACATCATTAATTTTTAATAATGTTTAGTACTTGATTCTGTTAATAGTTCATGTTTTCCACGAAATTCGCATTTAATAAAATTTTATTCATATTTCTATCAAGTTGAAGTGGTGATTATCCGAAACTTGATTTTATTTGATATCACTGAAAGTAGTTGAGGAAAGGTGTAAAAGGAGAACATTTATGGGGAACATAATATATAAATAATACATATATACGCTTATTTATTGTAATTTTCGCCCTTGCCACATTGGCACAATGCTAATTCAATACGAACATATAAATGAAAATAATAATAAATGTATTTCTTAAACACATCATTTTTTTTGTATCCTTACGACGACAGCACTCCTCCCCTTTTCCGGGCTCATACATGGCTGAAATTAGCGAATCGCGTATATCAATGTATAGGTATTAAACAAATCTCTTGTTTAATGAGTCAATTTCATATTCAGTGGAAACGAAGACATTACGCGATGGGTTTCAAAATCCACAAGCAACAAGTTATCATAAAGATAGGGAATATCTCTGTTTATTTGTGCTTTGATCTGTCACTTGAACATTAGAAAACTATTATAGTAATTCAAAAAAAGGAGATCCTTTATAAACACAAAAATCCATTCAAACCGCAAATGCGTTTTACATGCATCGGAACGCACTATGCGTAGACAATTGTGAAATAAATTAGGTTTCATGGCTTGTAGATTCGCCAGAAAGCTCAAGTTACCAGCTACAATGAAAGAGTAGTATTTATAATATTTCGTGCAAACCGTTAAGCAACCAACGAAATTGGGTTTGTTATTAATAGGAAAGGAACTGAATGGATTAAGAGAATGAATGTAAAGAAGTTTTAAAAAACTTCTTACATTAATTGCCGCAGATCAGTGAATGATTTATATTTATGCAAGATGGAGCTTCATTGAAAATGTCAATTGTTGTTCATTTCCGCTGAACCGGAAATTGCGACCAACTTGATAATATTTTATAATAAAAACTATTATAAAAAGTACTGGCTGCCTGCGTTCAGCCATACACAGGACGTTTTAGCCCGAGAATACCAAAAAAATATTGGTCAAGCTGTCTCATCTACCAGGCTCAAATCTAAACACCCTGCAATAAGCCAGCAAAATGGGAGTATTTATACAAAAGAAAAAACCCAAACCAACATTTTTAAATATACTAATTGTANTCGCCAGAAAGCTCAAGTTACCAGCTACAATGAAAGAGTAGTATTTATAATATTTCGTGCAAACCGTTAAGCAACCAACGAAATTGGGTTTGTTATTAATAGGAAAGGAACTGAATGGATTAAGAGAATGAATGTAAAGAAGTTTTAAAAAACTTCTTACATTAATTGCCGCAGATCAGTGAATGATTTATATTTATGCAAGATGGAGCTTCATTGAAAATGTCAATTGTTGTTCATTTCCGCTGAACCGGAAATTGCGACCAACTTGATAATATTTTATAATAAAAACTATTATAAAAAGTACTGGCTGCCTGCGTTCAGCCATACACAGGACGTTTTAGCCCGAGAATACCAAAAAAATATTGGTCAAGCTGTCTCATCTACCAGGCTCAAATCTAAACACCCTGCAATAAGCCAGCAAAATGGGAGTATTTATACAAAAGAAAAAACCCAAACCAACATTTTTAAATATACTAATTGTAAGAAAATAATAAAAATAAAATAAAATACATACGATGCCATTCCAACAAAATCAAAAAGAAATCAAATAACAAGTTAAACACTACGTTTGATCCAGCTGATGGAACAGCTGAGGTCATAAAACGTCTATTAGAAATGGACGACTATTCATCAAATGTAAGACTAAATTTTATTTCATTTTCCGTAGTTTTATTTATGAATTCAATAATATGTGCGCGAATTTTTTCATAATAGTTTACTAATAGTGTTTGAAGAAGTTGGCAATACAAATCCTCGAGCTTGAAGGGTTTCTCGTAAGTCCGTGGATGAAATGAAAACAGAAAACGACACCCGTCTGATGATGTCATTCTAGCGAGAACTGCAGCAAGTGTTTTTCAGTTTTTCTCAAACAGTAATATGTTAATTTTATTTGTTGGGCGTGGATGTGCCTGGAGTACTTGGTGCATTTAAAGTTGCAAGACAAGCTCGTGCCTTTAGTTGCTCTTTAATGTTTATTTTGTGCATATTTAATAAATGAGCAATTAATCCTTTGTTTTCAGAATGATAAAACATTTTTTGCATTTTGCCGTTTCACCGTGGTCGGCAACCAGTTAGATAGTAGTGACTACCATACCGAATATTTATAATCTGCTTTTCCTTTATGAGATACGTAAGTCGATTCTAAAAATAATAACGAAATTATAGTTGCTTTATCCATATTGGTAAAAGTTGCTACCGGTTTGAAATGAAATTCCTTATTATTCCCAATATATTTGTCATTAGTATGTTTATAAATTTAAATGTAAAATGAAAAATCTCTTCGTACAACTTTTCTATCACCCATCTTTTGCCACCCACTATCTCTTTCTTATATACCCTTCTCTTCTCCATAAACACATCCCTTTTTGTTTCCACATCCACACCTATTCTCCTGCACTCTTAATATTTCCATCTGGCCACACGCACATCTCTCTTTTCTTTCGCATTATAAGAGATAATATATGTGAATAGTGTTTGATTGCCGAAGCTTGGTGGATAATGGGAGTTTACTAAATCGTAAACTATTCCATTTCCATGCACATATAATGCACTTATTTAATCATAATTGAGATTAATTAACATTAAATAGAGAAATAATTTTTTAATTTACAGATTTAACTTTATCGTTGTATTTTCTTAGAATTTTTCACCTTCTAGAAAGTAAAAAGAATTAAACCATTTTCACGTGTAACTTGAAATGTAAACATTTAAAAGAACTGTAAAACTCCTTGAATTCTCGCAACCTCTACGTTCTATGTAATACGTTTATTAATTCAAATAAACCGTCGAATGTAATAAAGACACGCTTGATGAAGATCTTCCTCAATTCAAGGGAAACTTTCACTTTAAATTATCATCCCCACGGAGAGTTTCTCTTTCTTTCCCTCTTTTCTTCAAGATTTAATGAGTTTTAATCGTATTATGAAATAATTTATAATTAATTAGTTTAAAATGAACACTTTCTGATATATAAAGTGTAATAAAAATTCTTTTTTGATTTACTGGGCTGATTTGTTGAGTTGATTTCCCCTCTACTCAATTTTCTGGTTAAATTCGTGTGCCGTAACCATACTCAGAGTAGCGCTAGTGCGTCCCGGAACGCTCCAGTATCTGGGTAACATCGGGAACATTAACATCTTTCTATTTTTGTTTATTTTAAAAATTGTGCATTATTTAAAATTAATGTGAAATTGAAACAAAGTGAAAAAAGTGAAAAAAGCCGTAGAAAAATTTCTATATAAAGTAAGAAAATTTATTTTATCTTCAATAAACTTCGTAAACTTCACGCGATATACAGGGGTGCCGTATCTTCTGGATCAGAGCATTATACGGTTGAAGGATACATTATTCTGAAGCGATTTTTCTAATAAAATTTTTTCGAAATGTTTATAATAACCGCACGACCAACCTATTTGTCTAACTTGACAAATAGGTTATAAAGTTATTTGACGACAAGGTTTTATAACCTATTTGTCAAGTTTGACGTACAATTTCACAGCCGACTACTGAATTTTCGATGATTTTAAGTAGCATTAACGAAATTCGTGTCTTTAGTTATTTGAGTTTTTTATGAAAACGACATGTTTTTCAAAAAATAATAAGAGTAGACAAAGTTTTAGAATTAAATTCCACGTGAAATCAGGTAATAATGTGTTAAATCCTCCAAAAGGTTAAAAAAATCTGTCAAAACTTAGGGGACCATCACCCTTAATCAACCCTTTCAAATGCCTCAATTGGTCTCAACTTGCTACCAATTAATACCCTCGGTACACTCATAACGTATACCAAATTTGGTTTTTCTAACTTAATGTATTACGAAGATATTCAATGTTTTAAAAATTTAAGACCTAACTTTGAAGGCCTATAACTCCTCAGGAGTACAACTTAGTATAGAGATAAGTTGTGTTAAGTCGTCTTAATTTATTGTCCTCTACATGTCCCTGTTCTGTGTCGGTTCTTATGTGAATCACCTGTATATATTTTTTTTATGAAAAAAAATTAAAAAAAAAATATATTGTCTTTATGGCAAAAAAGGTATTTTTATACCTTTTTTTCCATAAAAAGGGAAGAAATTTACACATTAATTGCTGATTTATGAGGCGGTATTTATATTACGGGATGTATTTAGGGATATAAAGGTATTATAAATAGTTTTGGAGTCATATATGAAGGTTTGTTTCGGCTCGTTTGCACGTTTTTGAAAAATACAGGTCCGTAATGACAATTTTGTCGGAATCGACATTTTTTTTCTTCATCTTCTTCATCGGTTTTTGTTGGTGAGTTTATAGAAATATTCAAAGGTTCAATATTTTCCGAGCGGGCACGTATTCAATATTGCGATAATTTTAAAACCTTTTATACATTCAACTTACAAGTAACACTTGGGAAGTGCCATACGGCGATTTTCTTGAAGCTTGGCATACAAGTAGTGTCTGGAAAAATATTCGACACGTATATTGTCATTTCTGCCCGATAGCCGTTTTAAGGGTAGAAATCACCCTTTCCGATTTTGGAGATATGTTCGAATTATTTTTACGATTGTTGAGTAATTACGTCATTAGAGGTTTTAGAGGTCGCTGATGACGAATCTGATGTCCGTTTTCGAGAATTCAAAATGGAGGATACAGAATTGTTTAAAAATTGTACAACCTTGATGAGAAAATGTAACAAATGAGGATAATTTTTAGGCGGATTTCTAGGAAACGGTTAATATCAAAAACTACCCCCAACAGTAACGAATCATGGAAAGTCATCACTACAAGTAGTGATGCATGTAAAAACTTTGTACAAAGCAGACAATATTGCCGTATTTGCAACAAAATCAGGCAAGATAACATCCGATCTTGCCATTAATTGGTTCAAACACGGTTTTTACCAAACACCCGGGAAAACTCTGTTCTTTTGCTAGATTCCTAGACTGGCCAGACTGAAAAAAAAATTGACAATATTGATAAAAACGCTAGGCGGAGTTTTTGATCGCAAAACTGTTGACAATACGGTAGGATCAGACACAAAAAGTAACTAACTTATTACTTGCAATATTTCGAAACTTTATTGTTTCTTCTACAGGCAATTAATCATAGTTAAATTAAATCGGGGTAGTTGAAGTTCATCAAAACAATTCTTGACTACTCATTAAGACCACAATCATTTGACCATTACAAAATGGATGAAACTTTCATCCATTTTGTGAGTAGTTAATAATCCATTAATGAGTAGTCAATTAATTTGCCTGTAGAAGAAACAATAAAGTTTCGAAATATTGCAAGTAATAAGTTAGTTACTTTTTGTGTCTGATCGCCGCACCCACTAATCCTACCGTATTGTCAATATTGATAAAGGCGATAAAAACATCCAAATTTTTACGATTCCCGCTGGAACAACTGGTTCATTCAGTCGCTAGAAGTTTATACTTTTAGGCCTTGGAAGAATTTTTTAAGACAATTTTCTGACATTGTTATGCTGTATAATTATGATGTAAATTTATATTTACGGAACAACATCCTCAAAATACAATCTTTAATACACAACCCGTTTTCTCTCTCTTCGAGATTTAAGTATATATTTCGATACGCTTGGTGGAAATGTGGGTATATTGCAGAAAAGCCCGACAAATGCGAAACGCCTGCAGACTTCTGTTTCAAAAACTGCAATAACTTGCTAATAATGATATTGCAATAATTAAATATGTGCAAGCAACATCAAATGTGCATTCTTTGCTGTAACAAATGACAACTCTCCACATTACTGTCTGTACTAATTTTAAAGTATAGGTCAAAAAGCAGCCCGATTCGTGAGAGCCCCTTGCCTCTCACGTTCAAAAAGCACCCCGATGGGATGAGAAGCCTATCACGTCCACGTCGCATCGCTACTTGTAGTGATGAGTTTCCATGATTCGTTACTGTTAGGGATAGTTTTGATATTAACCGTTTTTTAGAAATCCGCCATACATTTTAAAGAAAGTGCGCTCGCAATTCCGCCATTTTAAATTCTCGAAAACGGACATCAGATTCGTCATCAGCGAGCTCAAAAACCCTTAGTAACATGATTTCGCAATAATCGTAAAAATATTTCGTAAAATAATCTAACTTGTCTTCAAAATCGGAAAGAGTGATTTCTCCCTTAAAACGGCGATCGGGCAGATATGACGATGTATATCGTCATCGAATATTTTTCCGTACACTATTTGTATGTCAAGTTTCAAGAAATTTATTGCCGCAAGCAACTAGATGGTGCGTATATGAAAAAATTAATGTAGTCACAAATAAGCCAGAAATAATAATAGATTATAATTCGACAAAAGGTAACTCCACCTTTTGTCAAAGTTGACACTAGATAAATTGTGTGCCACTTAGACGGTAACTCACATTACTAAAAAATGGCCATGTGGAATCTATTTTGATTTATTAAATATTGCTCGCACAAATGCGAATGTTTTATATTCGTTTTCACCAACAAATATAGCAAACTGGCGTAGACATTTTTTTTTAATCTATCCTTTAGCTTTATGAAACCTCCTTTACACTATAGAGCAACCAATAAGACCCTACCACCGGATATGGAAGCATTTTTAAAATGCAATTACTCTCAATCGATAGCAGAAAAGGCTACTAACGAACAACCCTCAGCGAAACGTGGAACTTGCCATTTATGTGTAATAGAGAAAATACGTACAACAGCGTCAATAAAGTGTTCAAAATGTCTATCATTTACTTGCAAAAAACATTCTGTAGTAAATATAATTTGTTTAGAATATGAAAATGGATCCAATTCAAATTAAAATATAAAATATTTAACAAGTTCCTTACCTAGTCAACCTTACCGCAACAACTTTGAACTGTTGCAAAATGAAAAATATAACCTGTTGCATCCAATTCAAATTGAATGTGAACTGATATATTGTAGCGTACAAAAAAAATTAATAATCAAAAACTCAAAACAAAACGCCACGAAAAACAAGGTGCCGGCAATCTCAGTAGAGAAGGGGTGGATTTCTTTTTTTTTTATAGGGCGCCAGTGGATCTACGATAGTATTCCTTGTCTCAATGCCAATCACAACAGGACCCACTCTGAAGTGAAAGTGAATGACGAAAATCAAAGAAAACAAAACGGATAATAATAATAATAATACTCTANAATTTACTGGGAATAGGAGAATAAATTGTGTGCCACTTAGACGGTAACTCACATTACTAAAAAATGGCCATGTGGAATCTATTTTGATTTATTAAATATTGCTCGCACAAATGCGAATGTTTTATATTCGTTTTCACCAACAAATATAGCAAACTGGCGTAGACATTTTTTTAAATCTATCCGTTAGATTTATGAAACCTCCTTTACACTATAGAGCAACCAATAAGACCCTACCACCGGATATGGAAGCATTTTTAAAATGCAATTACTCTCAATCGATAGCAGAAAAGGCTACTAACGAACAACCCTCAGCGAAACGTGGAACTTGCCATTTATGTGTAATAGAGAAAATACGTACAACAGCGTCAATAAAGTGTTCAAAATGTCTATCATTTACTTGCAAAAAACATTCTGTAGTAAATATAATTTGTTTAGAATATGAAAATGGATCCAATTCAAATTAAAATATAAAATATTTAACAAGTTCCTTACCTAGTCAACCTTACCGCAACAACTTTGAACTGTTGCAAAATGAAAAATATAACCTGTTTCATCCAATTCAAATTGAATGTGAACTGATATATTGTAGCGTACAAAAAAAATTAATAATCCAAAACTCAAAACAAAACGCCACGAAAAACAAGGTGCCGGCAATCTCAGTAGAGAAGGGTGGATTTCTTTTTTTTTTATAGGGCGCCAGTTTATCTACGATAGTATTCCTTGTCTCAATGCCAATCACAACAGGACCCACTCTGAAGTGAAAGTGAATGACGAAAATCAAAGAAAACAAAACGGATAATAATAATACTCTATTAAAAGAATTAAAAAAATAAAGTAACTTTTCGTGAAAGTAAAAAAATAAATAAATCAATTATAATAATAATCATTCAAAAACTATAAGAAACAAAAAATTTAATTTAACCAAAGTTTACTCGAGTTAACTGTGATCTTACAAAATCAAAAAAGTAAGAAAATGAAATAAAAATAAACTAAACCAAATAATAATAAATAACCAATTATTTCAGGTGAGTATAAAAATATCAAACATAATTCTAAGTAAGTAACAATAAACTGTTCTATTTTTTTTTATATATATTTTTTTTTTC